CCCGGCCAGCCAGCAAGGCTCAGATGGTTGGAGCGCCCAGTACATCAAAAGGTGGCGGATTCGATTCCCGGTCAGGGCGCCTACGCAGATTTTAGATTTGATCCCTGGTTGGGGTGCCTGTGGGAAGCAACTGATTGATGTTTCTCTCTCTCTCCCTCTCTCTAAAAATCAATACAAAATAAATAAATAAAAAATGTTCATTAAAAACCCCCTGAAAAAACAGGTCCGTAAATAAATTCAAGACAGGCAAGAACATTTACATTAAGTCAATAAAAGGCTTCTGTAAATATTAAGCTAAAAAAAAATGGGGGGGTGTCTATTTAAGTGGTTCTCAAATATGCATTTGAAACACCTGGAGGGCTTGTTTGTAGAGCTTTCTGGGTCCCCCCCCCCAAGTTTCTGATACATTAGGAGTTTCTGATTCACCACGCTTGCAGCGGCGGCCCTCCGACTGCAACTCAGGGACAGGCATGCTGGGGAAAGCCTTTTTCCCCTTTATTGCAGTAAAAACATTTCACATAAGAGCTGCCCTCGCAACAAATGCGTAAGTGTACAGCACAGTGCTAAGGGCGGATCTCTAGCGCTGACTCATCTCGCAGGCCCCAGACCTTGCGCCCCGAGGTCACTCCTCCCCTCCCACAAGGTCTTAGCGGGGCTGTCCTCCGTATCACACACGCCACATGCCCCCGGCCAACCCAGCTTTCGAAGAGACGCAGAGTCACCTGCGGGAGAGGCAGGCAGGCGCCGGGCTCCGGCCTGTTCTCACCGGGAGGAAGCCGGGCGCGGAGCGAGGGCTGGCGGGTCATCAGGGACAGTGCGCGCTGAGGAGGAGACTGCAAACTGGCGGCCTCCGATTTTTCGTTAATTAGTTGCTAACATTTGGAATATTTCACAAAAATATCTGTATTTTCAGTTTCTCTAGAAAGATCACGTTTAGCAGCCTGGCCTTGCACTCACCGCCACATGGCCTCGAGGAGCCGGAGCTGCACAGCTGCCGTCCACTTTTAGGGAAAAGATGGGCTCCCCAGATCGCCACTGTCCCCAGGAATCCCTACTCTTCCCCACCTGGCCTGCCCTGTCACCCACCTGACCTGCCTGGCTCTGCAAACCGTCAAGTCTGGGGCCTCTGCCCCAAGGTTGTAGCACAAATAAGAAAATGTGCAGGGAACTGCCAATACCCTGTGGTCTCAGTCTCACACTTTCACGTCCCTCCCCAGGGCGCAAGAGAGCGTAACGTTATGATGGTGACAATCTTCCTCTGTTCCAATTTATTACATAAATCAATCATGGGCAAACTTTGGTATTAGTGTTGAAACAAACCGGCCCGTATCTGGCATCGGCCCACAGCGCACCATCCCTGAAAACCTCTGGAACTTGCTTTTGTGCTTCCGAGGTAAGTTGACTCTGGAATGCGCGGAAGCAACGATGAAACCACTGAAACGTCAGAATCGAGTCGCAGGGCGCGAGGAGTGTGAGACAGAGTCAAGCGCGTCTCGTTCATGTAATTATAGGCATTTAACTCGTCCACATCAAAATGGGAATGTATGACATTTGCGTAATCGTGAACATTATCTGGGGAAAATGTAGAATGCTGGGCATCCAGGCCGTAAGCCCATCGCTTTGAAAAGCTGAACAGAAAGGTTTCTGAGGCAGGCACTGCCTTAAAACAAGACCAGCGCGATAAATGGCCACTTGAATGGAATAGTAGCTCCCTGCTTCCAAATGACTCCACAGACCTTCGTCTCAGTGGACTGAGAAAAAAGAGACCAGGGATAGGTGGGAAGAGAGCAATCTAGAGATGCACTGGGGGAGGAGGGGGAGGCAGGCGGGCCCTCCGAAACGGGCAGAGCGGGGGGCGTTCTGGCCTGCAGAGAGGCCCTCGTTCCAGAGAGCATGATTTACGTCCAAGGCTACTAGGTATGGATCACAACTCATAATACAGAGCCCAACTGCCTACACACTGCCGTAAACACACACACACCCCAGCCAGTCCCTAGCTCCCGTTTCCCTTGGATGCACAGGGGTCTACATGGGCGCCATGTTGAGGAAGCACTGGGCACAGGCCCTACTAGCCTATGTGTAAATTCTCAAATGGTATTTTCTACCAAACCATGGCCCCACCCCTATGAGGGCTTATCTTATACGGAGCGCATTTCCACTTCTCTTGATGAATGTCCACTCGGGTCCTGGGACACTCACCTTTGAACAAATTTTCAGAACTGCTTTCACAGTGAATGAGTTTGTGGTCTCAGAGAAAGGACACTGTTGCACTGCGTCAACAGGAGGCACCCTACTTTAAAGGGCGAGGGGGACCCAGGTATAAATGCATATGCCACACTGCTTTATCTGCAGTAACAAATCAGACAGCTGAATTAAGATGAAACGCTTTAATCGACTATAATCGACTATAATAAATCAATATGCGTTATATAAAAAGTCCAATTCATGCATCAGATTACATAAATTATACAACTGTCACATTACGCAAGGATTACATACTTTTGAGTTTGTACCTGTAAAAACGTATACAAGTTACTAGAGCATTTTGCTGAACAAGTGTAATACTCTTCAGTTATAAATAATGCTTATATCCTTCAAATACCTGCTAAATATACACATTCCTAGATCTGCAGCATTCTTTTGTACCTCAAAATACAAACCATCTGGAAGCCTCGAAGATTTATAGGCCCAATGTATCACTTGTTACAGACTTCAATTCCATGGTAAGAGGGGATTTCTTGACATAGAAAAGAAATGAAATAAAACGCCAACTCAAGTTTAATGCTTGAAGACCTTCGACACTACTTATTAAATACATCGGAAAACCCTTCAGATGCAGATGAATTCACTAAGGTGCTGCCTATTGCATATTAAATACTTCCAAGCGCCGCATCTGGATTCTGAAGGTTATAAATCTGTGAAAATGGGGGCTTTCCAATGTGCTGACAGACCCCCGCATCTCCCATCACGAACCAGCAGCCCCGTGATCCTTTACCTCTACCTTCAAAGGGATCGAGTGAGCGAGCATGCTTTAGGCTTCACTTCCACACGCACGAGGGACACCTAGCACAGCTACGAGACATGTGATACACGGACATCAAAAAGCTCCGGCCTGACTTACAAATCCAAGGCAGGGAGCTTTCCCTAAAAAGCTAGAGGAAAGGAAAAGCTCTGGTGTAACAAGTACTAGATATGTTAAAGACAGCTCTTTTTTCTTTTAAGACTCTCCTTTCTAAAGAATAAGCGCCCTTACTGGGCAGCGGGGGGTGAGGGCAGAGGGGCCGGTGAAGGCAGGATGTGAGGAAAGCAAGGCTGTCACTAATGAGCTGGGTTTTACTTAGGTTTCCAGTCGTGAAACCCTTTTAAATACAAGGCAACATTTTCACAGCTGGAAAATTACAACTAAATCTTCTTTTACTGCCAAAAGCAATAGATGCAGTTATGTATAGTCTATGGCTAATACCACAGTCACGGGGGACCGGCAAAACGAGGCTCAGTGCAGAAGACAGCGGCCAAGAGCAGCACGGAGGGCGTCTCGGGAGGGGCGGCCCGCAGCTCCATGTCCAGCTCTCAGAGCAGAGCCCGGTCCCAGCGAACGACACCCGAGGACAGTGGGTTCAATCTTTTCCAGGTGGAATTTTAAAGCTGGGAGGGGAACTGGTTGTAAAATAATACTACTTTTACAATAACAGAAATATTTTAATTATATAAAAAAAGTATAGTAACTTAAATAGGTTTGAGATAAATATCAATTCTGTGATTTTTTAAAAAAATCCTCTTATTGGTGGAGTTATTTTTGAACATGCATTTTTTAAACATAACTAAAATCCACTTATAAGTCTATAGTGCTGTGCATTATTTAATGAGTATATAGGTTTTATTTCCATTTCTAAGCTACTAACAAAATATACCATTAGGATACTTAAAAGTTCCATTTTGGAAAAACAAACTAAGGGGACTTTTCGGCCTTCTTCCTGCAACGCCACTCTGTACGCACTCCGGCCCAAACACGAGAAACACTGGTGCTTGCTGGGGAACTCTTCTTCCCTTCCCCTTTGTAGTTTATTATATTGACGGATTATGGAAATAAATACGTTGTCCTCTGGGTCACGAGTAAAAATTCGTAAGCATCCAAACAGAACACTTTGAGGCAGTGATAAATGCAGGTTGAGTTTTCAATAGAATTCTTGTCCCAGATTTAAAGATAAAAGTATTGAGTCAGTTATAACCAGATCACTCACGTATGGATAAGGCTAATTCTTAACAGTTTTTATACAAGCAAAGAATGTCACCTTAAAAATGAATTTCCTCATGAAAAGAATAGCAGTTACTTGAACCATACTTTTTAATGAGCTCTGTTCACATAAATCATATCCCCAGTACAAAACCAACATCTTGGTTCATTCTATAAAGAGCAAATTTGGCCAAAGCATATTAAAATATCTGCAAATAATCTGTCATACTACTAAAAACACATGGATTCTGATATTTTTAAAAGTGTAAGAGCTTCAATTATACTAACAACAGAAAAAACAAATGCTAAGAATTTTGTAATATTTAATAAATGTCAATAAAAAATGGAACCACGTTAAAAATAATAATTAAGACTTTAAATGGGAAAATAAAATTCTACACCAGCTTTTGAGGCTTATTAAAGAAATATATAAGAAAAGTCGGTGAGGCTACTTTCCCTTCTCCCTTTCTCCATTTTAAAAAATTATTGAATTTTTGTATTTGGGGAAAATTTTCAGAATTTCAAAATCTATGCTCTCACAGGTAAAACTAAAGAAACTCAGAAAATATAAATAGCAAGAGATTTTAGCTTATGAACTGAACATAAGCTTGGCCAAATATTATCTGATTCAAAATATTAAAATGAGCAAAACGATGATATCTGCTTTGTATTTAACTTTCAATGAAGTCTCAGTAGAGACACATATTAGACAAAATGCACTTCATTGAAAGACTGGGAAACATGTCTCCATGTACAGGTGTGTTTCTCATTTTAAATTCAGAAGAGACAGAGTCAGTGTTTCATAGTAAGTATTTTAGACTTTAAGGTCAAAGATAAGCAGTACATAATTAGTAATATTTTTATAACCATTGTTTTCCACTTTATGTTTCAGACTAATTTTGTACAACCACCTAAAGATAATTCATGGAAGTACTCAACATCCTGGGGGAGCAGACATAGAAACAGCCGACATATAATTTGGTGGTAAATCAATTCTTAAAAAGCAGATGCAGAATAGCGTGTAACATCTTGCTAGTTAAGGTCTGTTCTAAAAACTCACTCCTTCTTTAGTAACTTATTTTGGTTCAAGACCCAAATGCAACCATCTGTTCCAGTATTTATGTAACTTGAAACCAAGCCTAAGTCTTTATTCTGAGAATTTGCCCACTGTTTTGGGTTATCAGGCATCAGATGATCACCTCCTTTTACCCGTCACCCCCCCAAAATTATCTTCAGCTTCAACTTCTTAATATTTTCTTTGCTAGTGATTTATAGGCGTTCAGAATCTCAACAAATTACATTAGCTTATCTTCTGCTTATAGCTTAGACGAAACTCAAATGCTAAGATAAAAAGTGAATTTGAGAAATCCATGCTGTTGTGAAGTTAATGGAGTTTCCTTAAATAGGTCGTTCTTTAAAAAGGCCTTTGGAGCATTACTTTTGGAGAAAGAGCAAAAGTGTGGTGCTGGAGTAACATAGTAGCAGCTCACTTTGAAACCAAGGTCCACAGAGTCAAGAGTGATTTGAAGCAGCTCCTCTATGACAAACCAGGACACTGCAGGAGCGGCGGTGGTTGGTTTTGCGTCAATCGAGTGAGCACATGTACACTGTCAGATTAAGAGATTGGTATCCTCATGTTAGAGGCAACCAGTTGATTTTAAATGTTCTAAAAACACATGTATATGTGAGGTATACGCATGTATTTTATATGCAAAGATACGTAAACTTATATTCACATACATACACAAGTATGTAAAATATGAACTGTTTTTTAAAGTAGTGTTTACAATGAGCAGTGTTCCTGCAGCTAAACTGTCTGCAAACTGAACGCTGAGAAACCAACCACAGTATCCGCTCTCCCAGTGTCAGGTTATGAGAAATCAATTCCTGAGGAATAAGCCATGAACTCCCGAAGCCGCTGCCAGGCCTTTGGCAGATAGTGGGCTGGCTCCAGCACCTCCGTGAGGCCCAAGGAACTGCTATTTATCAAGAATCTATCTGGCCCACGTTCACTTTAAAAGCTTAAACCATTCAGCTCACTTCAAAGGTCCCTCTGGATAGTCCCTGCTCCTCCTGGTAAGTCCTGCGACTGTTCCCGACAGGGAGGGCGCGCTGGGCTTTTCCCTCCCCCGCGACACGCGCGCCGGGCGTCTAAGTGCTGGAGAACTTGCCAGCCCTCCGCGACGGCTCGTAGGGCACCCGGAGGATGCTGGGCGTCTCCTCCATGACCCGCACGAGCAGGTTGTCGATGTAGTCCTCCAGCTCCCGGATGTGCGTGTCCTTCCTCCGCAGGAGCTCCCTGTGCTTCACCAGCTCCTGCAGCACCTCCTCGTAGGTGAGGCTGCGGTACCCTGCCGTGGCGTCGAAAGGGTTGCTGTCCTGGAACAGGATGAAGGCTGTCACTTCAGTAGCTTTGGCATAGGAACACAATCAGGATTACTTTGAATTCACCTTTTGGTCTGCAAACCCTGACCGAGTTTTCCGCTGTCCTTGGCTAGACCCAGCGTGACAGGTCACAGCGCGGCTAGCGAGTCCCCAGGAAGGCACGGCTCAGAGCGCCGGCGCCTCCCAACTCGAGCCTCGTACAGCCCTTTTTTACAAAGGGGACAGTGTCCTAACGAAAGAAGCTGACACACAGCTTAAGGTGCAGAAAATGTTCTATAATAAACATTACTAAAATAGATTAAAGGGCTCTAAGAATTAGTGTGGGGGAGCTATAGGAAGCTGAAAACCACCCAGCTGGACCGCGGTCCAGTCCCCAGGGACCGGCTTCCTCCGAGCCGCGGTTTAATGCTGCGCCCCAGGCCTCCTATTAGGACGGTTAGGAGCAGCGACACCAACCTGCTTCCTGCTGGGACATGCTGAAGGCACTGGGGTCAAAGCTACGAGCCTCCTGCCAGGACGCTCCCACGGGAGTGACTTCCGACTTAAGTTAGAGGCAAACAGCTGCTTCTCCCGAGTAACTAGTTCACCTCCTCACTGTCCCAGTACCTACATGCGGTCTCCTCTCCCCTTTGGCCCCGGTTACCAGGAAACTCAGTTCGACCATGATCAGGTTAATATTACTATTAGCCTATCTGCATGCGCTCCCAGTTCACTACTGACTTACTTGGTAAAACTTACTCTATTGATGAAAATTCTTTTTACATAAACATATAAACAAAAAAGAAAGGAAAAGGCATGGACTTAATTCATTTTCATTACATAGCATTCTAATATTAAAAGAAAAATATTTCTCGGGAATTTAATCACAAATAATGTTATCTATTTACAGTGCATAGTAATTAGATTTTTCATTATGTAAAATATAGTGCTCAAATATAGCATTTTTATGCCTTTTTATACATAGTTCTGTCACTAAACTCAGCAACTTAAAATAGTTTTCATCACTTTCTTTCAAAATATTTAGATTTGGCTTTAAGGAAAATAAACTAAAATATTGAGAAAATTGGTCTTGCTCTTTCAGACTACAGTATCTAACCTACTCAGTGGGGGACAGAGAATGGAGATCAATGAACGCGGAAAGGCCCTTTATCTGTTTTTTATAGGAATTAAACTTGTCTTTGCTCATTTTCAGGATCTACTTGTGTCTAGAAGTTTTCACGGGTAAAGCCGAAGTGTAACTTTTTACCCCCTCCTCCCCCGGGCACCAAGCCTCTGCCAGCACCAAAACTCCAGCTGGGGTACAGATATCAATTTGATGGGTGCGTTATCAAACCCCTTTCTCCAGGATAACAAGAGAAATTCAGGATGGAGAAACTCTTCCAGCCCCACAGAATCTCTAAGGTTCGGCGGAGACCTAGCCCGCACCAGGCGGAAACGCACATGGGCATCTGGGCAGTGGGCTCGGCCTGTTCAAAGGAAGCAGTGAGGTCCGAGGCCTGCTGGTCACCCCGGTAATCGGGGGAGTGTGGCTGGAGAGTAAGGTCAGGACAGGAGCAGAGAGGCCGAAACGGGGGGGCTGCAAGCAGACCCTCAAGGACGCTCAGTGCTGTGATTAAGGATTCGTAGGTTATTGTTGTGGGAAATAGGAAGCCATTGAAGGTTTCCAAAGACAAGAAAACTATCATAAAGCTAAGTTCTAGGAAAATTCAAATGGCAGTAGCCAGTAAAATCATTTGGAGGGGTTGAGATTAGTTATAAAGCTATTGAAATATTACAGACAAGAGTTAATAAGAGCCTCCACCAGATTAACAGGATGAATCGGGAGGCTGCTAATGGGAGGTGAGTTTAAATCCTGCAAGCTACAGTTAAAACACCTTATTTTGTTTTAATGTTAGAAACTGGGAACACACACAGCTTTATGTGTTTTATTACCTTTGTCCCCAAAACACTTCAGAATATGGCTCTGCGAGAATTAAAAGGACAATTTAATCTACTCTCTATTCTCTTCGTTCTCAGATCCATTGATCTTTTTAAAGATCAAGTCTCAATACACACACCCTCTCATGTGCTGAACAGTTTATTTAATTGGGCATGAGTAGTTTAGAGATATAAAACTTTATTATAATTTCCTAATCACATTCTTATTAAATAATTATTATATTAAACAGGTTTCCACAGAAAAGATAAGACGTACTATAGAGGTAAGTATATATTTTAAATTTATTAAAAATAAGCTAAAGTTCCTTACTTTACCCTGAGTAATTCTGCACAAATCTGAGACAGAAACCAACCTGGCTCTCATGTCCTTATTTGAGAAATGAGATGTTCTCCAAGGTCCCTTTTAACTCTAAGATTTCCTGGCCTACACAGTGATTTTTCTGAAGTGTATTTTAAAAAGGTAATACCACCCAACTCATGTGATTTCATCTTTCTAATAAAACATTTACTGAAAAATAGGTATTCTGCTGAGAACTGCAGGGATTCATGACATTAAACTAAATGGGATTCATTACTGATTGGTTGACTTTTATGTTTTTTTCTTAATTTAACCTAAGAATAGCATGTTTGAGTCTTCCTAATCTTAATCAAATTATACATATCTGAACTGACTTTTCCAAACTAATTAAGTGATAAACACAGTTAGAAAATCACCTATATTGTTATATTTAGCACTACACCAGTCCTGCGAGATGATGTAGTGAAAACAAAAATTTTTTAACATTTCTCTAAAGACAATGAGGATGAAAGACATCAAAAAAAATTATTATTTTGACATAAATTGTTTAAATTTAATACCATGACCTAAATCTAGCTAACAATTTAATCTCAAAATAATCAATTATTATCCTGGAGTATTGTTTGACACTTTATAATCATAATCTAAAATATACACATCCATTATTTGGCTTATTTTTTCCCCCCTACAACCATCTAATATTATGTTTAGGCAGATTTCCTGGAAATACACTTCTGACCTTTTCAATAAATTTTCCAGTTGTCCTTTTATGTGAAAATTTTACCCCAAATTTCTGCATCAGGTTTCTAGGCAGAAAAACATCTTAGAAACACATGTACTATAAACTATATTCTCAGAAAGAATATAAAATAATTAAAAACAGTTTTATGCTTAGTTCCAGATTTTATCCCATATTTGAAAATCATAAAAACCTTTTAATTTTAGGCATAAGATTCTTAAATTGATATATATATATATATATCAATAAATATATATCCTTGTTTGCTGATATATTCCAAATAAAATAATAATGATTAATACCAATTAATACATACAACAGAAAATTCAAATATTTTCTGGTCACAAAAAATTATTTTGCCTAAAGAGGAAAAGTCTCAGGCAGCTATAAAAATTGATTTTTTTCCAAAAGATACTTTTAATACTACTATTGAAAAACCTTCTAAAACTGAGAAATATTCAAACTGTTAAAGACTCAAATAACCTACAAGGGACTCATAAGTACTCAATGTTATTTCCTCCAGCACTCCATACAGATAGCACATGTGTTTTTAAGATGTCTTCTTATATTGAAATGTAATGTAAATTTTTCTTCTCTCTTCCTTTCACAACCGATCCTTTTTTATTCACACCCAGCCTCTGTTAAAAATTTCCATATGCAGATATAAGAAATTAGGGATTGGGTGAGAAAATAATAGAATTATTACATGAAGTTTTCTAATCAGAATTTTAAATAACAGTTGTACAAAAGACTTTGAGAATTACTAGCGATGTATTTTTACTTTACACATAGTCTAGCCTTTTAAACTAGGAAATGTATATATTTTTTACAATATTTAAATTTGAACAAAAGCAAATTATCAGGATTCAAAATAACTGAAGATTTAAAGAAAGGTTGTCCTGGTAACCAAATATTGGTGGGGCACTAACTGACATCCAAGGCAACTGGAGGAGAGAGAGAGAGATAAGATGAAGGTTTGGCATTCTCTGATCATCTCATTACTGTTCTAATGAGGAACTTTGCTCTGGGAATATCATCTCAGCTACTTTCACATCTTTTGTCCTACTCCCTTCATCTCCTTTCAGTTCTTAATTAGGCCTTAAAGAGCTCACACTGCCCTTTCAACTGGCTACTGCTCCTGCTTAAACACTGTGCTTTCACAGACAGGTGTTGGCACTAGCATATAAGACATACAAACTTAATTACAAAATACTATGTCCAGAAGGGGGAAAAAATAACTTGGCGGATGGCTATTATCGGAGAACTTAATGTAAATTACTTCAAACACCTTATAATCTTCAACATAAAAATTGTTCAAATACTTTTCCTCAAAAACGATCAGTCTGAGGATGGGCTTTCTCCTCTTAATTGTATCTTGCACTAAATTACCAACACCTAAGTAATCCTTTAACTGTCATTTAGAATAGTTAGTATTCCAGAGAAAAGTAATCACACATCAAGGATTCCTTTATCACCTTTAAATCCTTTAACTAAAACAATTTTCACATTTTATTTCTTTAAAGAATTCTAAGGATGCTTTTACAGCAATAAATTACAAGATTTGGGAAAATACACTTACAAGCACACAGAAATTATAATTAAGGTTACTTAATAAACAATAGCTACACATTAAATTGATTTTTTGATGTTTGCATTTTGTTTGAGATTAAGTAACCTGCCTGATAGAATTCATTTTACTATCTGATCAAAGGCTCACTTCATATATTCTGACATTTCTCTCCAGGCTGCCATATTATAAAGCCTGCAGTATTTATGAAGCATAGAAACTTACAAATCATTTACATAAAGCAGCAAGAACAGGACAAGGTCCTCTGCTTCTGTTCTTGACAATTTTAAAGAAATAACTACATTTAGGATGGTTTATACAGCAACATGGTTTCTTCTGGGCATCGCTCATCATAGAAAATTGTGATATGTTATTGCTTTAAAAAATTCTTATTACACATCTGGATCACACACATTAAGGGCAGATGGTTCAAGCAGCAACCACCAGCGTCTTGGAGTAAAGGCTCTATTTCTGTCACCCGGTGGGAATTTCGTTTCTACCCGGAACAAGTGCCCATCTTTTTGTAAAGTAACTTCCTCTCTAGGCTGGATATATTTAGCACTGACCGAAGCAGCCATGCAACTCCGAGCGAGACCCAAAGCTGGACTTCACATAACAATAAAATGAAGCTGAGGTATCTGAGTAATCTTTGCCAGATACGGGAGTTAATTTAGCCTAGTGGCTACCAAGCCAGTTAATATATTTGGTTTTGTTCCGAAGGAAAGGGAAGGGAAGTGTCCTAAAGGTTCTTTCAAATACTTTCTGGTTAACTGGACCTTTTGCCAGATGCAAGATTTTTGAATGTTAATAAGCACTTTGATTCTTTCTTCAATCTTTGTCCCAACAACAAAAAAAGTTAGTCTTTCTCCACATGCTCTTATTTCATAACAACGTTGACCTTGACATTCAGCTTTCATGCTAACTGTAAAACAGTCTGCAAACAAAATATGTTATCTTCTAAGTAGGCTTCAATTATAATGTTTACCTGAAGTTCCATAAATTGTATAAAAGTCATGGCCTATCATATATTTAAGACTGAATTTTGCTTTTCTTTTTCCTCCCCAAGTTATCCCACTAGGCTCTATCTGTAGGGCCCTGAGGGGTTCACGGGGATGGAAGCCCTTCTGGAAACGTGTGTCCGACCAAAGGCTGGTCTGTGGTTCCTTTTCTGGTAATTCTCTAACCCCTCTGCAACTTACCGGGATTTTCCTGAGGTCTTCACTACTTGTCGGATTCGTATGAAAACTGAGTAATAAAAGACAATTTAAATGTTAAAAATGTATCACAGTCCACGTGGGAGGAAATATAAAAACAGAACATTTTTAACCAACATTTCAGTAACAATTTCTAAAGTCCTAAATCACTGGGATGAGTGAAATTTAATCCAGGATATAGAAGAAAACCAGTATTTACTCAACACTCTAAAGCAGCTACAATTTTAAACTTCCAAGGCAAACCCTTCAGTCATTATCAGAACTGAAGACTTGACCTCTAAATATGTAGTTTCTAAACATCTGTAAACATAAGCGTTTTACCCAGTGAGACATTTTATAATACTAAATTTTATAACGTTAGTATTCATTTTATATACACACACTCACCTTAGGCCTCCTATATAAAGCGATGGAGAATAAAATAAATTTGGGTTGGAAAGACTGTAGCATAAAAGAGTTAAAGCAAACTTTTCAAAAAATTCTACAGGTATTAGAACAATTATCTTTTAAACATCAGTCTATCAATAAGAATACATCCCAAGTGCTAGAAACCACTTCTGTCCTGAATGTGATTTCTAAGTAGCTGGTCTTCAAAATTCAAATACCCAAATGGACCAAAAAAAAAAAAAAAAAAAAGAATTCCTCCTGTACAGGGAGTAAAAAAACATCCCAGCTGAGTGCTATAATCACTTTCTTCTCTGAAACATGTCCATTAGGAAGGGGACTGCAACCAAAAAGCAGCCAAACTTCAAAGCTATCTGACGAGTCAATATTTCATCGTTGCCATTCAAGTTTAATTTTGAGCCGGCACTTAAGAGTATTAGCCATTCTAACCACTACAAAGCGTTACTGTCCTAGGAACCTTTTTATACCTCCCCCAAAAGACTTAACAGTAAAATATATTTTCTACATTATCTGTGCTTTATCAGCCAAATAACTGGACTCCTTTGAAAAAATTCACTTTCAAAACTTTGGGCTGTGCGCACTCAAAGTTTGAACACTAGCTACAATGTCTGGGAAATAATCTATTATTACAGGTACATATCCCAAGCTGTAAATCCACAGAGCACACAGGCCATGTACAAAGGAATTGCTCACAGATCCAGGTTTCATTTGTTATGACTAAGCTTCAGGAGCTGGTGGCTGAAATTTTCTAGCTAGGACTCCCACGGATGAATCGAGCATTTCAGTAGAGCTGGGGGACATGGTAGAAAAGACTGAAACATGTTTTAAATACCTACAATGCACCATTTACAGGCAGCTGACTCACTGTCTCATTTCCTGTATCTCACCGTTTATACTGTGTTCTCTATGGTCCCAGACTAGATCGCTGTACCAGCAAAGACTCATGAGCCTGACAAAAAGAGTGGCTTAAAAGAAAACAACAAAATCCAAAATGACATTATGATAGAATACACCTTGGCCTCAGGTGCCTGCTGTCTTCCAGCAGGTCAAGAGACATCCTGCTGCACCTTGCTCCACCTGACCGACATTCAGGTCTCAGCACACCACAGGGGCTACAAGAAGTGAAGCGGTTGAGGGCCCTGGCACCAGGAGGTATGAGTTCAAATCCTGCTTCTGCCCTATAATTGCTGTGTGACCTTGAGCAAGTTCCTTAACTTTGATCATCTGGTTCCTTCCTCTGTAAAATGGGGATGGCAACAGTCTCTACCATATAAGACTACTGTGAAGGTCACGTTAGTTAATAACATGTAAAACACTCAGCACAGTGACTAGCAGGCAGAGCATGCTCAATACATTATTTTATTTAGTAAATATTTATATAGCACTTGGACTGTCAGATACTGTTCTAAGCAATTTTCCCAAATTAATTCATTTAATCTTTCTAACCTTTAAAGTAGGTATGATCTTCATTTCAGAAATGAGGAAACAAGAGCCACAAAGAGGTATGGTGACTTGTGTATGATCATACAGTGGTGATGGTGGAGGTGTCTGGCTCAAGAATCTGTCCTCCTGCCTGTGGCACAGCCCCAGCCCTGGTCCCTGTAAGCAGTGAGCACACTGTGAAGCCCTGAACATACCGGTCACGTGGACTGACCAAAAAGTGCACCTCACCTCCTTCTGGGCCAGCACCTGGTACAGTTGGGGGACAGCACTCCTGAAAGTGCTCTATCACAGCCATTGGCCAAGGAAGGCCTGAGTCAAGGGAATAGTGGGACTTTCAATTACATGAAGGATGGCTTTGGCAGGCCAGAGAGCGAGGACTCTCAAAACATAGGGCATGGCCTGGGGCTGCTAGAAAGCAGTGCCCCTCTGGACATCAAAGAGACTAGAACACAAGGC